CTGCTGAAAAAAACCCTTTAACCCTTGAAAGAAAACGGTGGATGCCTGTCCTGTCTAGGACCTTCAACGTAGATGTGTCCATAACATCTGAGCAATTTCTTTTGCAGGTTCTTGTGCCAAAGGATCCTGGATTTATAGGTAAAATGGTAGAAGTGGACATTTATGAAGCAGGAAAACATTTTATGAAAGGGCAGCCAGTGTCAGATGCCAAAGTGTATACCCCATCCCTCACCAAACCATTCGCAAAAGGAGAAGTTTCTGGTGTAACAGAGGTGAGTAAAGATGTTTTCTGCTTTACTACACTGGTGAAACAGCAGCTGTTCCAGCATAATGATTCCAGGATATGTATCTGTTATCATTTATAGCTCCCTTTTTATGTATGCATGAAGCTTTAATCTTTTTTGACAGATTGAAATCTGAATTTAAAAGATGTTTTTTGCTGATGCCCATAGATTTACTTCATTGCTTGTAAAGGCAATAATGAGCTTGTTTCTTGTTCCAGGATGTAAGATGAAGGAAGAAATTACTAGTAGGGAAAAGATTTAATATCAGTGATTACATAATTCTGTATATTTCAAACTCAGCAAACTGCAGAAAGGAATTTGCATTTTTTTTACTCCCCTGCTCCCTCCAAATTTGTAATTTATATCATGTTAATTTTAAACTTTTATTAATACATCATCTTAGGGGTGGGTCTAGATGTTCAAATTTTACTATTTGGGGTAAAGAACTGCATACCTACAGTGTATTCAATAGAAGCTAAACAGCTGATCTAGTCACGTAGAGGAAATAAAACTTTTTTTTCTTTTTTTTTAGAGGTAACCTGATCCTTGTTTTATACCATAGTAAATATGGCTGTTTGCCAAGTATTCTTTTATGTTGCATGGAGCTCCAGTTGTAAAAACTGATGAATTGTGAAATGAAAATGTGTATCACATTTCTAAGCATCATTTGATGTCCTTTCTCTAGCACAATTGTTAGGAGCGTCAAAAAATATGAAGTAGTAGTTTAGCATATGGCAGAAAGATAACTGACAGTTTATTCAGCCACTTTTCTGGAAGGGGGTGGAGGGTTGCCTTTTTATAGTAAATTGCAAGCAAGTATTAATAAGAGAGAAAATTGACAATTATGGGTTATAGTTTGATGTGGTTTTAAATAGATACTTGTCAGCTAGTGCTTAGATAAGGTGGTGTGGTATCTATTGCAAACAAATTTAGCTGTGGAAGCAGAGTGCAGTGATATAACAATAATGTATACACAATAATGTGTTTGACAAATCATGGAACTGAAGTAATAACCTCAGGTTAAAACAGTGTTGGGTGTGTGTTTGTGTGTTTGCTTGGCATGGGACTGTAAAGGGAATAAGCAGCCAAAATCTCAAATTGTCTGATTGGATTTTGTAGCTACTTCAACACAGCTGGTTTTTTTATCATAACATTTTTTTAATAATCTACTGGAACAGAACCAGAGCTGTCATTAAGTTGGATAGCACTGGCAAGTTTGTAGCATGGGAACCAGCTGACAGAATATTGACTGATATTTTATATATATAAAAAGAGGGAAGCTAACAAAATTATTAAAATCAATGCTATTCTTAATGTTTTCGCAACAAACTGCAGAGCTACAGTGAGAGGCAAAGTTCTCCAATGTTATGCTGTGACCAATCTCTTTCATTCCCAAATCTGAGGCAACTATAAGAATGGGAAATTCTAAGTGGCTTTTCATTACTTTTTTGGCTGATGATGAGTTAATTCCTTTAAGGAAGCGGCTTTATCTGTTTGCTTATTGGACATGGTAAGGAAGTACTATGCCCCACCCCACCCCACCCCTCATTTTCATGCAGGCCCCTGAGCCATAGTACTAAACGAGTCATCTTCTACATGAAGATATTAAATCTGAATACCTAGAACCACTGGTTCTTTCAATCCTGCAGGGCAGATGAGTGGTATAGGATTGGGTCGTGGTCCATGGGCCTGATCCGGCATGCCAGACTCAACTTAGGATGTGGACCTGTCCCCAACCTTGACCCTGGGCTCACCAGATTAGGCCCACTGCCACTGTCACAGCCTTGGCACTGGCCTCAGGCCTGCATATGCTGAATTGGGCTTGCTGGCCCTGAACCCAGCCCCAACCTTGACTCCATGTGTCCTGGATGGGGCCTGCTGTTGCTATAGCCCTGACCCTATGCAGGATCAGGTCCCAGTCCTGTGCATACCAGCTCAGGCCCTGACCCTGGCCCTGTATGTGTGGGAGTGGGCCCATTGCCCCAGCCATGGCTCCAACTCCACATGCACTGGATCAGGCCCCAGACCTGGCCACGTGCGCACCAGTGGAGTCCTGTCATCTGGCTTGTGAGGGTTGGAAATGTGGTCCCGGGGAGGGGGCAGGGGAGAGGAGGAGGCAGCAGCAGTGTTAATTGCCAGCAGTCCCCTGCTGCCAAATTTCCAGACCCTTGGGGAGCCCCACAGGTCACATGACTGTGGCCTAGAATTGATTGGTGGGTGGGGGATTGAGCATCCCAGCTTAGAAACATGCTTCAGTCAATTTCTTCTTTACAAAACAGCCTGCAGCTATTAGTTTGACCAGTTGCCACTGACAATTGGTATGCTGCCAGCAGACACAGAAAGAAACTGCAGCATTCTGTTTTCGTCATTGTATTTACCTGGACAAATAGGTAGTTTTTTAATGTTAATTATTAGAGTTGGGCCTTTGGCAACATTTTGAGGACTGCCTTTTTTCCACAGATGAACTTGAGGCATTCAGTTTTTGCTCAGCATTTTCATGCAGTCACCTTTGTTGGCCCTTTAGATATATGAGAAAACAGTGCCCATTTGGGCCCCATAGCGTTTGCAGCTATCAGGTTATAACTAGCTCCCAAATGGTTCTCTTTAGCAGTCAGATTGTGATCACTCACCATAACTCTCTTCCTGGACAAGTAGCTAACAGTCAGTAGCTTCTAGCTGGCAAGGCAGGTGACTGAGACACGTAAGAGATCAGAGATCACGGTACCATTAGCACCAGGCTGTCGTCAGTGATGCAAACTGCTCTCATTTGTTTACATTTTTTGGGGGTGTAAAAGGTTCCCGGTTTGGGAACCTGTTGAAGAGCTATGTAAATTTATGCTTAGGTTCAGGCCATCTGGAGCAAGAGCAGTACATTGGGAAGATATATAGGCCCTTTTTCCAGGAAAGTTTTTAAACACGCTTAAGTCCACTTAAAAATAAATTACCTAAACACATTCCTAACTCCAAAGTAAATGGGATTTCAGTACAGACCAGAAAGTTAAGCAAATGCTTAAGTGTTAAGTAGTGACCGCCCCCCCCCCGCCCTGCCAGCACCCCACAACCCATGGGTGCTCATGGATTGGAGCAGCCTTCTTCTCCTCCTCCATTAATAGATTGGTCTCCCCATTTAGTAAGGGACCTGTAGGCTGTAAATGTATTCAGCTGAATACTCTAGAGTCATGGCAGCACACTCACAGTTGGACCCAGTAAAAAAATGTAGTGTGGTTTGAATATTTCACGGATTCCAGTCATACTCCTTCTCTCTCATGAAGAATGTTCTGCTAGAAATATTAGAACCTTCCAAAACCATACACGTTTTTTAAAGACAGACACTGGTATAAATCAAGGGGATCAAGTAAAATTTTAAAATTGAAAACCCCAGGCCCTGCCCCTGCAGCAGCTCCAGAGGCCCAGCTGTTGCCTGTGGAAGGCAGTGGCTTCTGCAATGGAGCATAACACAGAGCACGGCTCTCCTTCCCCTGAAGGCAGTACGGCTGAAGGTGAGCCCATGGTGGGGTGAGTGCGGGCTGTCCGCTGCAGACTTGGGCTCCCTGCCCTGCTCCCCCACCCTCCCCAGGGCCTCTGAGGCCCAGTGGGCAAAACCTGGCATGGCAGGGCAGAATGGGGCTGGGTGGGGAAGCTCAGTGTCTCCGTTGTGAGCCCCACACCACCCTGGCAAAACACTCTCTGACTGTCCAGCAGTGGTGAGGGGCACAACTCTGCACCGCCAACCACACTGCTGCTGGGTGGGCAGGGGGCATCTTGTAAGGGCATCACAGGCCTTTTAGCAGCAAGGAACTTCCCTGCCAGGCCCTAGTCTGCCCTGCCATGACAGGTCACGCCTGCTAGGCTGCAGAGGCCCCAGGGTGGGAGGAGGGTGAGGAGCCTGCACTGGGCAACCCATCCCTGCCCCTGCCCTGTACACGGATCTGGGGGGCATGTGCCCCCTCCTCCCTGTTACACCCCCCTGGGAGTATATGCCGTGACAGGAAGCCAGCCTCACCCCCCCGCCCCCCCCCATACACACACACACTGCCCCTGGACAAACTGCCAGTGGCTCCATCCTACTCCCCAGCTGGGCCCTGCAGCTGTGCATTCTGGCCCAGGCCCAAGCACCAAGATCCTTTGGCACCAAGCCCCATGCACTGCCCTACTAGGCAGCAGCCCTAGCCCTGCCCAACTCCCTCCCTCCTATAGGGGCCTCAATCCTCCCCACCCCTACCCCATCCCCTCCTGCCAGGCTTACCTGTGGGAGCTGCTCTCTAGGCTGTCTGGCAGCCATGTGCATGTGTAAGTGTGCACACACACAGCACCCCCTGCCTGACTGCCCTCTTCCCACTCCCCATAGCCCTTGTGGGCTGGAGCTCTGCCAGCCTTCAGAAAGCTATTTGTTTTTCTCACTTAAAAGGGAAAATTGGTGTTTTTTCCTGTGGGAAACAGAAAACCCAGAACCCTGGTTATCAGTCTTGGCTCAATACTAAACATCACCTGGCATATAGAAGATGGATTTGAGACAGGGATTTTTCCTCCAAGGCTGTGTTTGTGGACCTATCAAGTGGCATAAACAGCCACTGAAACTTGCTTGCCAAAGTCTACAATATGTCGCAAGACTACCATCTAGTACAGCTTATCCAGTCTCTTTTGGAGAGCAGATCTTTTTACGTAGAACTGTGAAAGAAACAGAACCACTGGAGATGGTGACTAAATGGCCTTCCACTGGGCAGTTTGTTAGCACTGATCCTCTTTAACATGCATGCCAATGATCAACCCATACAGAGCAATACAAGGCGCTTTGTATATGCTGATGGTCTATGTATGACATCGTAAGAGAAGGACTTTGCCACTGTCAAGAGCAGACTGACATCTGTGCTGAGCAACCTCTCAGATTATTACAAAAAGAATCAGCTTCATGCCAACCCAACCAAGATGCAGGTCATAGCCCTTTACCTATGTCATAAAGAAGCCAAGCAGAAAGTAAACATCACCTG